GGACTTCTGGAGGCGATGAAGTCATCGAAGGCAGTTTCAGCCTCCCCTTGGTTTCTGAAGTGTCTCCTGCACAGGAAGCTGTCGAGATGCTTGAAGAAGTGATAGTTGGTGGGTGAGAGGTCTGGTGAGTACTGTGAATGAGGCAGAGTTTTGTAGCCCAGCTCATTCAACCTTTGCAGCGACAAAAGTGCAACGTGTAGCTGCACATTATTGTGGAGGAGGATTGAACCCTTTCTGTTGACCAGTGCTGGGTGCAGCCGTTGAAGTTTCTGGTGCATTTCATTGTTTTGCTGGACATACTTCGCCGCCATGATCGTTTCACACAGATTCAGGAAGCTGTGATGGATTAAAGCAGCAGCAGACTACCAGACAGTCAGCATGACCTTCTTTTGGTGCAGATTCGGCTTTGGGAAGTGCTGTGGAGCTTCATCGTGGTCCAACCACGGAGCCGATCATCGCCGGTTATTGTAGAGCATCCATTTCTCGTCACACGTCACAATACAGTCGAGAAACTGGTCATTCTGGTTGTGAAAAAGAAGCGACGATGACACTTCAAAACAGTGCTTTCTGTGATTCTCATTCAATTCGTGCGGCACCCATTTGTCGAGCTTCTTCGACTTTCCAATGTTCTTCAGTGCTCAGAAACAGTTGATATGCTTACCCGAGTTTTTTTTGCACGTGCTTGAACAGTTGTGCTTGTATCTGCTTCCACCAGAGCCTTCAATTCATCGTCGTCAATAGCAGAAAGACGTCCACGACCTTCTTGATCTTCAAGGTTGAAATCGCCAAGTCAAAATTTTTGGAACCAAAGTCGCACCGTCCGTTCGTTAACACTTCCCTGGCCATATACCTCATTGATGTTTTGAGCAGCTTGCGCTGCATTACATCCAAGTTTGAACTCGTAGAAGTAGATTGTCAAAATTGCTGTTTTGACATCTGAACTTCAAACCTCCAAAATTTGTCAAAAATGCAGTTTATATTCTAATTTAATTATACAGCGTGAAAGTTCGTAACAGGAGCTTTTCAAAAATATATAACAGTACGCCAGTCGAGAAAATACTATTCCTGAAACATATACAATGAAAATCACATTACGAAACGGAAATTAATTTCTGAATAGCCTATATTTGAACTTCGGGGAATCTCTTTGGTTGCTGGAGTTAGTGTGGCAGCTGCCTATAACCTTTTCCCTTTTCTCTTGCATTTCCATTGTGGCAGGAACTGCTTAGTTCTTGGAGGTGCTAGAGAAGACCCTTCTTCTTGTAAGAGATCCACTTTTGCTAGAGCTTCACTACCTGAAATTCTAAAAGGCAGTTCCTATGCATGCTGGAGTTCTGCCTAAATTGGGATCCAAAGCATGTCCAGCAGCTCCTTTGGAATGAAGGAAAATGGAATTGTGTCAATCACTTTTTATTTCTTTCCATTTGAACCACAAATAAAACCATCACTGATCTATTTAAATAATTTTACATGTGTTGATCAGACTCTGAAATTGGCATTTAATACCATAGTTACTATACTACATTAATGACATATTATGTAAATGGACAGATTTTGAAGATATGATTTGCATTGTTGTTGTTTTTGTAACAAAACAAGCTAGTGGCCATTTGTAAAAACTCGTTGAGTAACTCAGAGAGACTCCTAAATGGCAAACATCTGTCTTGAAAAGAAGGCTGTCTCATGCTTCCTTATGTCATTGTGGTCACCTAAAGTAGACAATTGAGCAAACACACTGCAGAAGACTGACAATAGATAGGTACTTGGGAGGAGTCGTTCATGGTTTCACTTTTTTTTTTAAGAGAGCATAATCTTTTTAATGTAAACCAAAGGTTTTTTTCCTGGTCATTCAAAAATAACACATCTAAGTAGTCCTCATGCTCCTCCTAATTACACTAACTACTGATTTTGGATTAATGTGGTGCATTCTGATACAGACTGTTCATGTTAAGATGCAGTTGGCATCAAAATGATCCTATCTTATGACTACTACTGTATATGATATAATTTAATTAAGGAGTAATCCCTTTCAAAATTGGTCATTAGCATTAGCTAGCAATTTGCTAAGTTTGCTTCAAAAGGTTAATGCTATAGCTATGGTAAGCAATAACAATTTCATGGGGATTTATTGCTATTAAAACGTATAATCAATTTTTAATAGCAATACTTAATTTTTTAAAAAGGCTGTAGGTTGGTTGAGTGCCCTCAGATTACAATGGATATTTTTTCTGGCAGATAAATAATTCTCTGCTAGTCAATTCAGTTTTGAGTTCTCAGATTTAGCACTTCAATTATGCATTCTTCATTTGTTTTATTAATTGTTTGGTTATATTTGACTATGCTGAACTATACATGCATGGATAATATATGACATATTATTCATGAAATTTTCCAATGTGACAGGCTCTGGTTACTCATGAGTAATACAGTATCTGTCACGTAATAAATAAAGCAACTTTATATAAGCTTGTTCTAAGTTCTTAAACATAATTATCTGAATTGTTGAAAGGAAATAAGTGTTGAAATTACTCTAATGCATGATGTAGTAATTTGAGGAAAGAAATTCTTCTGTGTCAGGTAGAACTCTCCTAAATATGTTTATGACAGGAACAAATGAGATAAATTGAGATATTCTGTACTTAATACCAAGGTTGAAGCTGGCTGAGATTGTCATGCCAACCCTTGATCTTCGTAATTAGCAGTTCATTCTTTCTGGGCCACATTATCTGCTGCTGTAAATTTCTGCAGCTTTATTAACTTCAGTAGAACTGGATCGAATTACATAGGCATAGAATTTAGTTGTGAAGAAGGATTTATTGCTGCTGTGTGGAGCTGAAGTTCTTGGAGGATTGGCCCTGCCTGGTAGAAAACACACAACCGATAAATTTCCTGAGATGCAGTATGGAAAGCCTGGTTTCATGCACATTCTGGTCATCAAGCGCAATTAATCTCAGCTGCCTCTCAATGCCTTCAGATGCAAATATTCTGCCATGGAAATCGTCAGGAAACCTTCTGTCTTGGTTTGAATCAAACACAATGAAAACATTTCAGTTTGCTGAATTGCAGAGTCTGATTTCAGGTGAGTCTGAGGTCTGTGTGGCTGGTGTGTGCCACCCTGGTGCCTCGTGGGAGCTGCATGTGGGTGTTTTGTTCCATCCTTCACTCCTCCCGTGCTGCCTGCTCCCCCAATCTCCTGATCCACAGAGTTAGTTCCGAATTTCTCAAGACAGCCAAGTTTGACTGCAGACTTTGCAGGTGACAGGGTAAGGTGAGGTGAAAGTCACTTGAACTACAGCTCTCATCAGGCTCCAGTGCTTGAATATAGCATGTTTTACGCTGAATTTGAACTATTCTTCTGGAAAAACAACATTACACAGGGACTTGGGGAAGTATTTTCCAGCACTGTCATTGAATATTTTGAGGCTTTAATATCAAATTACTTTTGTTTGGATTGAGAGTACTGGGAACCCCACAAAATTTCAAGTAAAAAAATTCAGAACATTTAATTCTGTAAAGCATTTTGATTAAAAAAAAATAAAAAGCAAGCAATTTTTCCTTAGGGTGCATGATGTTACATTGGTCTTGCTTTTACATGGTAAAATATTTTTCAGTGACTCCTGCATGATATGGGGTTTCTGTATGCGCAGAAGAAATAATGTTAGTAGATAAATTTTGACACTTAAGTGAATTCCATAAAACACATATCCACCTTCTTTGACCTTGCAGAGTAGCTTAAAATAATTTTTTTGAATTTCCAAATATTTTGTGAAACTCTCCTTCTTGTTGCTTTTTCCCCCCTCTAAAGCCTGTATTAGCCTTACTACTTTAGGAGTTTTATCAATTGTTTACATTCAAATAAAATTTTGAAAAAGTTTGACCTTTAGATAGATAGCAGAAATTAGTAGAAAAGGATGATTTTAAGTGAAATCACAGAAATCATTGATACAGATATCAGTTATACTTTTGCTATGTTCCTGGTTGATTGTTATTCACCTGCTGTGCAGTCGGTATCTTCACAGGAGAAAACCAGACCTCAATAGAAAGAACATCAATGAAACTGTCAAGGACAGCAGATCTCCAAACTCACAGTTTTTATAAGGCTCATATGCTCTAGACAGTTACTCCAGCTTCAGACAGATATAACAATTCTTTCCTGGGTTTCTAGAAGAGAACTAGAAAATTGTAACCATTCCTTTCCTTGCAAATCTCATATTTTTATTGAGAGGAATGCACTATTGAAAATAGTTCATTTATGGAGTAGGTTCAACAGCAGAGAAAGATTTGAACAGGTATTCATTATGTGATGGTTAATTTAGGTTCATCTTTTGGATTGTTGTGTTTAAAGATAATCTGTCAACCTTGAAAACTGAATATGAACAGTTATGGCCAAAATTCATGTGCATTAATTAATATTGGAAGTTAGTTTTTAAAAACATCAGCCATATGAAATGCTGCTAATATATACTATTACTTTTGTTATGTTCTCTTCTGGTAGTAAGAGTTAGATTCTGCTTTCATTTATTACAAATGCAAACTACTGACCATGTAGTTCGTTTCCTAGTGTGTAAAACTCCAGTTAAGTTGTGACATCTCATTTTGCCTTCCTGGTGCAATACAAAAAGAAATCTGACTTCCCCAAAAATTTCTTATATGCAAAGGGAATTTTGTGCTACTCTAAGTAAGAGAGTGAATTCAGTGGCTTTTTATAATCTTATTACACACTCCATTACAGAATTACACAGAATAATAATACTGGTTTTAGGCAGAAATAGGTCCAGTTTGTAGAGCAATGAACCATAATTCAGTACAAAAACTTCTGCATGAAAATTCATAGCAAAATAAATATCTCCATTGACTCCACTGACATTGTGCATTTCAGTAGATAACAGTCTAAGCAGTCAGTACCTCACACAGCACAAACGAATGTATACTTTCCTTTTAGTCTCATTAGATTAGATATATCATTCAGCTTGCATCTGTGCTTGGTTTTTATGCTACAGATGCTACTGTATCAGTTCCAGTGACACATAAGTACCAGTTCATCCAATATCCTGCCTTTTCTGACACAGGTATGTATGTGGTCATGGAGGGATTTATTTCTAAGACTGCACTATTACATTATTCATGAAGTCACACAACAGTATAGCATCTATTATTTTACATAGAAGCATGTGTGAATGAAATGCACTGTTAGTATTGAATAAGTAAGCTTTGCTACGGCAATTTTTATGTATGGAGAGTATGAGAGAAGATCTGTCTTTCTGTACATCTGAATAATAATCCTGAAGTGTACAAAATGCCTAGTAGAAATGTGGTTTCTGGAGCTGTTCTCTTATACTGAATGCTAAATATAGTCTTCTGAGATGGAAGAATAAAATCAGCATTCAAAGAATATTTGTGTTAGGGCTGTTAAAAGATTTACTTACCATTCACTACCCGCATTTTTTCTCTCACATTTCTCTTCTGTTTACCTACAGACTCACCAAAGGGCTTCATTGTGTGCCCTCTTCCGTCACGCAAATGTGCTGGCTAGCAGAAAACCAACAAGAACATTACTGCATTGATTTTCTTTCATGCCTGCAAGCCATGAAATTTCCATGATTAATATAAATCAATATTTGTGGTATAGCAGAAGGTGATCTGCATAACTACTGGTGAAAGAGAGAACACTGAAACTTTCATTCAACACTCTCCGTTATTTGTAAATACTTATATTCAGAGGATTCCCACTGCCTCAGGCTTTATACTTTGAATCCTGAAGTTTTTAGTGTGATACTGGCAGAATTTCCTCAGTTGTGACCCCCTCAAAAGATTTTAGCACGAGTAAATTATAAAAAAAAAGAGGAATAGAATAGAGTAGAAGTATTTCAGTTGGAAAGGGACCTACAACGATCATGTAGTCCAACTGCCTGAGTAATTCAGGACTGACCAGAAGTTAAAGTATATTGTTAGGAGCATTGTCCAAATGCCCCTTAAACACAAACAGGCTTGGGGCATCGACCACCTCTCTGGGAAGCCTGTTCCAGTGTTTGACCACCCTCTCAGTAAAGAAATGCTTCCTACTATCTAGTCTAAGCCTCCTGGTGAAGGCCATTAAATCATTCCTTGAAGATTGAAAATGTTGTATACATAGTGATGATGCTAGGCTTTTTGCAGGCTAGAAAATTGCAATCCCAGCTATCCTTCATTTTATCTGGTCTCAGAGGCCCCATTCACTGGTATTTCCTTTTTGCTTTATTCATGCAGCATTCTTTTTTGGTCTCTTTTTTACCAACCCTCTATAAAGAGATTGAGAAACTGTGAACTTTGAAATAGTAACTAATAAGTTAATCTCTTAAAGGTATGTGTTCCTATATTACATGTGTACAAGTAAGCACAGTATGAGTATTTTTATGCAAGTGTCAGGGGGAATGAATTTCAGGTAAACTCTTTATAGATGTTATAGACGTGATTCGTAGTTCAAGTTTCAGCTAAGAATCTACTAGAAATTTTATTCTTCCTGTGCTAATTTTTCAGGAAAAAAAGGAAGCTATTGCTGTGAACTTGGTGTATAATAATTTTTAAGGCTTGAAAGGATGTGTACATATTTTGAAAGCTTAGTTACTGTTTTTTAAAATGAAAGAACTCCAGACTGCGGTTCTCTGACATTTTTTCAGCAGCTTGTACAAATTCTGCATAGAAAACTGGCCTGCCACACTCATGGCATAATGTACATTAGAAAACAGCTTTGCAATACTTCCCTTTGCTCACTGTTACTGACTGACTTTCTGTCAACAACAAACCACCTTTTAAAAGCTTCGCATTTTAAGCATATAAGCAACTCAGTGAAAACAGGTCTCATTATGGGCTAGTAACTGAGCGTACTGGAAGTAAATATTGGTTCTGTATCTCTAAAGTTTTACATTACTTGAAGGAAAACTGTATTACAGCTAAGCTAGCTACACTTTTAGGTATATGTATGGTTTTTTATATGTCTGAAGGACATGATATAGCGAACGGTCTAATCTGACTATCACAACCACAACCAGTCTTTGAACTTGGATAAATATGTGAAATGTCAGGGATCACAATGATAAGCTTTGTCAGTTTTTGTCTATGAAAAATGTCCAGTCTTAAACAAACATCAGTATTCTAACACTTTGTATAGAATCTACATTTAGTGTTTAGATATATAGTTTTAAAAGTAAAGATATGAAAAAGGGGGAAATGGTCACATCCAGCCTATCTACAGCATGAAGTGAGACAGGAAAGAAATGATTATGTCTTGATCAACTTCATGCAGATGTCTCTATATAAAAGCAATTTTTGGTTTTTGTTACTTGGTGTTAAAAATGGATGTTTGGTGCAAGTAGGATGTATTATTGGTAATGTCAGACTGCTTGTATTTTTTGATAGAATTGAGACTGAGAAATGTGGAAGATGAATCATTGCAAGCTAATACTGCATCCAGTGATGGGAATTGTGAAATATGCAAATTATATGTTACTCTATGTAGAAATTTCCTTTTAACGCTAAAGATTTTTCTCTGGTAGATCTTGTGTTTATGTAATTTGTGTGAGAGTTGTAACAACTGGTGCAGCAATAGTTTTGCTTGTGCAGGATTGCTGCACAACCGAGTGTCCCAGAAATAAGTGCCTGAGAGATACAAGTCACTAGTGGCTGGATGCAGACATGAGGCTTGCATAAGTCCCAGCAGTTCACATCAGTAGTTTGACCACAAAACCATCTGCAGTTTCATTGGTCTTGTTCTATACTTGTCTTTTGATACACTGGTATTCATCCCTACCAAATGCTTGTCCATCCAGTATTTTTTGAAAGACTATCTTGTCGTCATCTTTTTTTTTTTGTTTTTTTTTAATAAATGCAAGGACAGGTGGTTGTGTAGCTTCCAATCAAGAAAGAATGCTAATGAATTATACAGAACTTCTGACTTGCATTTAGTAGCACCATGATATGTTGTAAGGGCCTGCCAAACCCAGCATTTCTTATAAATCACATTTCAAGGGGCAAAACTCTCCACCTGTCATAGCTGAGGCCTCTGCAAGAGTCAGTGTTCAATGATGACATGGTCTGCTCCATCTTGCAAAGTCTCTTTTTATGTTAGAGGTTTTCTTTTTTAATGGATAGAAAAAGATAATTTCATATTTTCCTCCTGCTGCCCAACCAAGACAGCACTGTGCACTTTGCTTCATTGCTGGAAACACTCTATTGTTCTTTTGCAAGAAAGTCCATTTCAGGAATGGTGTTTGAATAATAATTGGCAACATGCCTGAAGCACTGACATTGTCTCATCAGGACTCTGTACACCTGCATGTCCATGCAATGTCTAATATTATTAGCAAGAAATTGATTTTATATGGTTTTTAAATATTGTTTTTACGTACTTATCGTTGTAGTCTTACAGATGACCTGGAGCCTAGTCATACCATCATCAAAACCACTGTAAAGACTGATGATTTATATCCTAACAAATGGTGTACAATTTGTAGGTGTAAACATAAGAAGGCACATACTAGTTCTTCACTAGACAGTGATGTGTGTCCAGCAACATTAAATCAAATGGGTAAAGTGATTTTCTGACATAAAACAGGGAGTGTTTGTTTCAGAATTTATCCCCAGGCCTTTGGGCAGGGGATTATTCATCATTTTCAGTTTTCAGAGGATCATAACAGTAAATTTGCTTCTGCAGTTTGACCTGATTAGCAGATCTCAGTACAGAAAAGTTTTTCTTTTTGAAGAGGTCAGATCATTGGAGAGTTACTTCTGTCTTACAACTGAAATGAGCAGGAAGGAAGTGTCAGCACTTTGAGGAAATGTTCAGCCATCTTAGAGCTTTCTACATTTTCAATTACATACCTGCATAAGAGATCTGTACAGCTCTATGAGATACTGTTTGACTTCATGGAAGCAAGAAAGGCTAAATACCCAGCTGGCATAGATCAGACTTGGTTTACTGAATCAGTAGAGCTATGCACTTGCATTATACCAGCAGACAAGCTGGGTGGAAGTTCACATTAGAAAAAGGAAGCTTATATGCATGCAGGTATTACTATCTTTATTAGTGGTAATTATCAATAATATAATCCCAGTGGCTCCAGGGGATACATTAATAACTTATAAACTAGAATTAATTTTAAAAGTAAAATAAATTTGAAAATTAAAAAAAGATTAAATAAAAAAGGCCATAGCTGTGCACAGCTGCCACTGGTAAAGCAAACCTGCTCTTTTCTTCTGTACATGACTCATCCTGTAATTTAATTCAAACTTTGGTGTATGTTAGTTTTGGGCTTAATTTATTTAAGTGTAAGTTGTACCTCTTTTATGATTTATGTGATCAAAAATCCTCTCTGGTCATATTGCCTATTTTCTGTCTTATTGCCTGTTATTATTTCTGCAGTGCATAAACTCAGTACTTGGATGCTCCTGCATTTGCACAAAGAAACTTAGAGAAAGAGTTAAAACTGAAAGAAGAGGAAAAGAAAATATTGTCACTTCCACAGTGTCCTCTTTAGGATTAGTCTCAATTCAGTCTTCTTCATTCTTTCCAGGAACAGGTGGGGAGTTTTGAGAGTTTATTCAGGGAATAATGTGTGCAGGCAAAACAAGGTCACGCCTGCCTCCTTTCCAAGGGCTAGTTCCTCAGACCACTCCCAAGAAACATCTCTTGGCAGTGGACTCAATGAATCGCCTCAACAAAGGATGTTATCCAGCAGAAGAACATACCACTGACTGTATGAAAGCCAGTTAGACCTAGTAAACAGTGTTTTCTGCAGTGCTCATCATTGCCCTACCTTTTGGACTGGTGCACATGTTGATTAACTAGAGAGTTGATGTGAGGTGGGGTTCACTAGGAGGAGGTTGGCACAGATGCAATAATAAGGAACAGGACACAAAAGTAAAAGATGTGTGACTGCATACATCATGAATTAATAGTACTAAATCTATGCAATGAACGCCATGTGTTCAAAGATGATGAAGAAATAGTTTAAATATTTTTCAGTTTCCCTATAGAGTTATGCTTTTCTTATGTCAAACCTTGATCTACAGTTCTATGGAGAGAAGCATTTGCAA